AAGGCAGAAAACATAAACCCCTCATCACTGAGCAACCTGCTCGGTACCTGGGGCTGCGGGACCCGCTGGGAGGAGCAGGGAATCGCGGGCAGCAAAAGCATCGCACACACAGAACCAGGGCAAAATACTGCAGCCAAAGGGCAGGGCTGGACCCACAGCGAGAAGGAATGTCAGGAATGCCCGCAGAGAGCCCAGGCACTACCCAGACATTTTTAAAGAATTCAATTTTTGTTTTCTTTCAACTACACCACTGTAAAATATCATAGCCTTCCCTTCTGCCTCGGCTCACATCTGGCAAGGGATAGAGAGATGTTTGCACACGTATTTCTTACCAAAAAAGCTTCGTTAAATTCAAAGAGGCAAGGAAATTGCTTCAGAAGCTGATGAACAGCATCCAGCCACTGGAGAAAAACTGGGCACTGTTCGTTCTGATCTTCCACCTTCTCCTGGTGACCACAGCGATCACCAAACTTGTGACCAAAATCCAGCCAATCTGATTCAACAAGCACCTGGAAGCCCTGTGAATAAAAGAAAAAAAACCCTATTTGCAGAGACTTGCTGTGGGCGCGTGTCAGGACAAGGCGAGCCTGGTGCCAGCCGTGCCAGGCAGACGCAGGACTCCTCAAGGGCCGGAAAGGAGGGCGCAGCGGTGCCTGGTTTGGGAGCGAAGCTACCTGAGCCTCAGAGGTTTCCAAACACAAACAGCTGCTAGTTGTAGACAACAAACAGCTTGGAGAATACGAACAATTAGGAGTAGGGAAGCAGCTGAACCTTGAACACAGGAGGTTATTTACTGCAGCACTTCACCAGGCTGGGCAGAGGAGTTCACCAAAACCAGGCAGGAAGAGAACATGGGAAAAACCAACACCCACAACAGAAGCTCCGAAACGCCACAAAGTTATGGCCAAACGTGATCCTGCTCCTTTCTCCAGACTCTGAGCCAAAAGCTGCCTTTTAGCAGACACAACCTAGCGGCACAGCACAGCTCGTACCTCCATGGTCCGGTAGTAGGGGTCCAGAAGGATCTTTGCCAGTGCTACAATCTGAGGAGTCCTGTCCCAGCCGTCCGAGCAATGCACCAGCACCGGGCGCCCTTCTCTGTCAACCGCGCTGGAGACCAGCACCGCTGCCTTCAGCATGACAGACAGGTGTTGCAGCCACTTGGTGCTCTCCAGGGCAGAAAGCCAGCTAGAAGGTGTGCAAAAAGCAAGAAAATGGTTGCTTAGCTATCCAGTGTTAAAAAAAAACACAAACCAACCAAGGAAAAAAAAAGATCTATTTTAACCTAAGTCTTTTTGGAGTCCTCAATGGAAATCAGTCTTTTCTAAAACGTGCTCAAGAGTAGCCAGCAAGGGAGTAAGTGCAAAGAATCCAACCCCTAATTTCAATTTTTCCCACATTTTAGAGACCCTCAGAGGACACACAGAGCCAAGTGACACTGAGGTAGCACTGCAATCCCTTCTGCATTACCAGGGAGCAAAATAAGCAGCATTCAAGCACTGTGAGCGCTTCCCTATCCCTGCATTTTTTGAGGAAAAAGGAAGGGATAGAAATTTTCTGGGGTAGGGAAAAGGAAGGAGGAGGAAAAAAACCCCGGACATTAACAGATACGGCATCAAACTCAGGCAGAGAAGGGTCACTCACTTGCTGGGGTCTGGCACTTGGCTGCAGACAGCGCGCAGGTACTGGAAGCTGTTGCGGATGGAGTGGATGTTGGCCATGCCCATGAACACGACTTCGCAGTTCGGGTAATACTCTGAACACAACAGAGATGGAAACGCTCAGAGAGAGCTGCCACCACTGCAGCAACCGTCTCCTACGCTTGAGCTGTCCCCTCACCCCACCATTTCTGGTCTCCAGGAAGGCAGGTTTTGTACAAAAGCCTTGCGGGCAGCAGCAATACATCGAAATAATGGACTTTGGACAAGTGGGAAGGGGAATGTGCTCCCAGAGACTAAGGACCAAAATACCGACCCCCCCAGCTGCGCTTCAGGACCCACTCAACAGAGCAGGTCCAAGAGGAAGATGTTCTGGGATGCGCTCAGCCCTCTGTACCTTCACATTCGCAGCCACCGCCCTTCGCTCTGTTGGCCACAGCCGCAGTGTAGGACCTGGCATCAAGGATCAGCAGCTTCTGAGGAGTTCCTGCATTCTCCACACCTGAACATGCCGTCAGGGATGAGTCTGCAGAGACAGACATGGACTGAGCACCCAGTACCTCCCTTCCTCCTACAAGTGGCCTCCAGTGCCACCAAACAAGCCCAGAGACCCATCCCACCCACCACGGTCAAGGTGTGACAGGGCCCAGATGATCCATCTGGAGACTGGGTTTAAACCCAGCATCGTAACAGCAACATTGAGGTGTGAAGTGCTGAATAAGTCCCACGTTTAGGAGCGAGCTGAGGGGAGCAAGCGGTCTCACCGAAGTCCGTGTCACAGGCCTCGCTGCCGTCGCTGCTCCCGTTGTGCGGGATGCCTCCGGGTACCTTTACTCCAGGGTTCAAGGCACAGGCTTTGGCAATCGATGTCACGAGATACTCGTCGTCGGCGTTTCGCCAGCCCCACCAGCTGATCTCGGGCTGGCTGCAGCGGGCAATCACTGCCCCGTTGCGCACGTGTCTGCAAAGGAAGGGAGAGCCTCGTGAAGCCCCTGGAGGGGTGAGGATCAACCCCAGCAAGGTCCACCTCCAGCCAGCACCCATGCAACCTCCTCACTGCTTCAGCTGCGCCATTTACTCTGGCATCCAAGTGGTGAAACAGGGCAGGGCATTTCATTATTCATAACAACAGCAGTGCCACAGCTGTCACTCGCATCGCAGCGGTGAGGAACAGAAGATGGCTGTGAGTAGCCCAGGAGTGGCTAATGGGGCTGGGCATCTGGTACAGCAAGATTGCAGAGGAACAGGTTGCAGGAGTGGCTGTCGGGAACCACCAGCGCCGCAGATGGTGGCAGCTCTGGGGTCAGCAGCAGCTCCCAGGGCATCACTGCCTCCCGCTCTGACCCCGCAAGTAAGGACGTGGACCTGCTGGAGCCAGAGGAGGCCATGGAGATGCCCCAAAGGCTGGAGCCCCTCTGCTGGGAGGA